GCTGGAGTGCAATGGCATGATCTTGGCTCACTGCAGCCTCCACTTCCCAGGTTCCAGCGATTCTTCTGCCTCAGCCCTGTAATCTTAGCCCGAGTGGCTGGGATTACAGGTGCCCCCCACCATGCCCAGCTAATTTTTGTATTTTTAGTAAAGACCGGGTTTCACCATGTTGGCCAGGCTGGTAATTCCTGACCTCAAGCTGATCCACCCACTTCGGGCTTCCAAAGTGCTGGAAAGTACAGGTGTGAGCCACTGTGCCCAGCTGGAGTCTTTGATTTTTGTCTCAGCTCCTCCATTATGTATATTTGAGACTTTGGGCAAATTTCTTAACATCTTTTAAGTTTTATTTTCTGTGAAACAAGAGTGTTAAACCAAATAATCCATAAGGTACTTTCTCACTATAACATTGAAAGATATATTTTTATTTTATCTACTTTAAGGTAGGAAGAAATACTATAATACCAGATTTGGGGCAGAAAATTAGTTGAGCAAAGCTGGGAAACAGCCTATTTTATTATATCAACTTGGAGCTGCACTTTGGGGAAACAGGACAGCAGTCTGGAATATCTAACATATTTGTTAATGTATCTAGAAACTTAGTTCATATATCCAAAGGCTATGTCACCCTTGTTTTTCTTATGCCTGTTTCCAATTTGTACTGTTTCTTGTATACTACTCCTATGCTATGTTAATACTCATCAGTCTATTTTGTAAAATAACTTGACCTGAAAAATTTTCTTGTGCTAACTAAACTCCATCAATACAAGTGACATATTCTTTCTATTTAGATAACTATATTCTACCCACACTGTTGCCTATTACAGCTATCTTCTGAACCTAGAGAAGGAAATGGGTCAAGAGAGAACCCTAAATATTTTTTTAAAAATGAAACCAATGCATTTTTAACAATCTATAAATAAGATCATAGGATCTCTTGATGGATAATTTGTGTTCACATGAAGTACTAGGCCCATACAAATTTCTAACATGTTATTTTCTAAGTCCTCTTCGAAAACATCGTAAAAGAAAGAGGAAAGAAGAAGAAATGGAAACTCTGGGTAAAGATGTAACTCCTATCAATGAAGATATTGAAGAGACAAATATTGCTTAATGTAAGTGAGATAAACTTGGTGATAGAAAACTATTCTGGTGACATTTAATTAGTGAGATTGGGCTTACTTGCATCTAGTAAATTATTGATTAGAATTTGATTATATTTAAAAACATCTAAAAATAAATCAGTGGTTTTTTTCATAAAATCTGAAGCCAAATAAAATTCTTTCTCATGTCCTTTTTCTGCATGTTACCACAGAGATAGGCATTCTAATTCTGCATGGCTGGGGGGATATTTATATAATTTTTTCTTTCTCATTTTTGGGCACAGGAAAGAGGTATTTTAATATAGTCATCTCACATTGAAAGGAAATAAAAATAGAAATGTTTTAATAATAACTACATATATTGAGCATTTACCACAATGTTATAAGCTCTTTAAAAGCAATATCAGTAAGGATCCTAGCAGGAATCACAAGTCCTCTCAGATTATCCAATAGAGAAATTTTAATGAAGGTACCATGGATCAGGGTTAAGGAAAAGTACGTTGAGGCTCCCTGAGCTTGGCAATGGTTGGGACCTCTTGCCCTTCCTATAGGAAGGGCTGAGGTAGATATTACCTTAGCATTCAGAGGGACATTGGAGGAGGTTCCCCTAGGCAAGAGCTATGGTTGTGTAGAGAAAAACCTCTGTCAGATATAAACAAGGACAGAGGGAGGAAATAGGAGAAGTACTCCCAACTTTTCTTTTGCCTTCAGATCTTCAGCAGGTGCCTTTTACTAGCTAAACCCACCAGAAACCAGAGGGCAATGGAGCCCTGGTGTTGGAACCTGAAGTGGTCAGTTTCTTAGAGACAGAGCAGGGCAGAGAAAGGATAGCTTTGTTTGAAATAACAAAATCCAGCTCAAACTGGCTTTAAATGAAGGCAAAATATTGGCTCACATGAATGGCAGCACAGAGGTAAGGTGGGCTTCACACTTGTCAAACCAGAGGCTCACATATAAGGAAACAGATTATTTCTCTCTTTTTGCTTGCTGTTCAGAGTTGGCTTTCATCCTTGGTCAGTTCCTCTTAAGTCATAAGAGAGGCCAGTAACAAGTAGGGCTACAAGAGTCCTCGTTTACATCCAGTATGAGAGAATAGTGTCCTTCCATAGCTCAGTTGTACAAAGAATCTCTCCCAGAAAATCCCAGCAGCTTAATGGGGTTGGTAAATGCTTGTGAGAAATTTTATGTGATCCAAACTTATTACGAAAACATTACTCAATTACAAACAAAACTGCTGGCTCTGGATTTTTAAATTATTATTATTATTGCACAGTACATATCTTTTAAGTGACATGCTGTTTTCTTCATTCTCAGAGGCTATGAAGTTACCTCCAGGCTGGTGGCAAGCTGCAAAATGCCTTGCTATTTGAAAATGGACAGAATGTGTCTCAGGAAAATAACTAGTAGATATGAATTTTAAATAATGTATTTACTTTTTATTTGCAACTTTAGTTTGTGTTGTTTATTATTGTTTTTAAATAACAAAGGCATTAATTGTATATTGTCTAGTAATTAGGGAAAAAAGCAAATGGTTAGGTAGCAACAATAGAAGGAAAATTTCAATAAACTTTCACGTAAGTATTGTCACCAGGATTACTATTCAAACAAAACAGAAAAGTAGAAAGGAGGTTAGGTCTTAGGAATTGAATTAATAATAAAGCTACCATTTACCCAGCATTTACAATGTGCTAATAAGTTTGAAATACATTATTTCATTTAATCCTTTTAGCAATCCATGAGATAGATATTATAATCTCACTTCCTGCATATGAAAATAGGGCCAAAGAAGTCAAGTCAAATAATCTAATCCAGATTTAGGGAGTTGGGGATGGGTGGAGATGGAATAGAAATCAAGATTTATCTAAATCAAAATCTGTGTTCTTAACCATCATTTTTGTTAATCTGAATTGGTGCAACCTAACTCAAATACTGTAACCCAAGATTTTATACTGAACTGTGCTTTGCTGTGATTGTGAGATGTCAAGGCCACCTTCCTGCAGGCACACAGAATGAGAAACCCTGGCCTATATTGCTGTTACCATCATGCTTTCTATAGAATTGACTTTTATTATGTTTCTTTGCTCCTTTATCAATTCTCAATAATGACTACATTTTTACATTATTAAAGCAGACAGATTGGCCCCATAACTGGGGAAATGAATAGAGATGGAAAAGTAAATGCTTGGCATTCTTTAAGCCCTGGGTGTTTATGCTCAATAAAATATAAATAATATTACTGAAACAGGCTGTTTATGCCAGAGTAATGGTCAGTGACAACACTGGAAAGCCCAGGTAGGAACTGGTTGTGACCACATCCTCATCTGTGTTCTTCTTGATGACAGCATATATGATTGCTCTCAGGTAAATTTTGATGTAGTGAATTCATGACCATAACATCTATTACTCGGGACCATCTTGGCAAGTTCTCCTTTACTCCATGGTATATTTAATAAACAGTGCTTTAAACCTGGAAAAGTAAAATGTACATTTAGTCAATATTTCATAGAATATTAAACCTTTTGCATTGATTAGGTGGGTCACTTACAAAAATCAATGGAAGACGCCTCCCAAATTGTGTCTGTCAGGCAAGCAGCTTCTTTTTTAGAGTCTTTACAAATTTTACTTTGCAATGTAGATTCCATAGTGAAGTGGAGAATTCAGACAAATGCTGAAATTGTATATCTCTCTCTAGCATCCATGGTGTTTTGAGTAAAGCTGGGGTTGTACTTATATATAATACAGAAATAGCTCCCCTATCCGTAAGAGCTAAGCCAAGCAATTGATAATTTTCAAAATATATTTTTTCTCCTTGTTTAATGATCATACTTGAAATCCAGCTGATCTACCTTGTATGTGCCTTATTTTCAAAAGTCTCATTTAATCTCATTCATGCCCTTTCTCTTCTGTAATCTTTTTTGATACTAAAATGGCTTGGAATAAATATCCATTAGAGCCTTTAAAAACACAAAACAATGCCCTGAATGTTTCTTTTTTCCTGGACTGACGTTGGCTGACCAAGAAAATCTCTCAAATCATTTTGTTCTGCTCCTAAAATGTCAGTGGTGGTTCTCGAAATTTGGTAGGTCTGATATCAAGAAAGAATTTCAAAGATTTTTATATCTTTTCAAAATGTATTTTATAGTTGCTTTGCATACACAAGATGACTTTGTTTATGTAAACTGTCAATATTATCCTGTAATAAAATAAATTTATTTTTAAAACAAAGTAAACATGTTGTTACTTGGGAATTTTCTATTGGTACCATGAATTACTAATGGAAATCAATTTGAAAACTATTGCTTTAGAACAGCTTATACTTTTTAAACCTTATCCATTAATGTATTTGAAATAATCCATCCTGACCATGTGTTTTCTTTAAAAACAAAAGCATTTGGGAGTGTGATGGACATCTATGGGACTGTCATCCTAATACTCTGGCCATATTTTTTAACTCAACCTCCAGCTGCATTTGGTTGGTCTAAGGCAGGCACTTTGTAAACTTGAGCCAATTAGAGTCATTCCCAGGGAAATTGAAAACTTGAACTGAAGTCAGGCTTCTTTGGGTTCTTGGGGTAGAAAAATGTGCATTTGAAGCTATTGGCAATTACCTTTTGCTTCTTGTGGAACAGAAAAACAAAGGAATCTGGTCAGCATATAGCAAGAGAAGCTGAAGCAAATGCTCAGTGAAAAACAGAGACAAGGCACAAGTTTCCCAACAGAATGTGAGTCCTGGTTACAGGTGTTCTCAAAGTTTAGCACCATTCCCGTCTATGGGTGCAGCGACACATGTTAGTGTCTTCATAATAAATTTCTTATTTGTCTTAAGCTAGATCTGTTTGGGTTTCCGTAACCTGGAACCAAGATCCTGACCAACTCAGGTGCATCCTGAGATTGTGGACAATGGTTTCTTAAAGAGGAAATGACATCATCTGTAAAATAAAATATCAAATTATTGTTTTCAAATAGTGCCCTGTATCATCTGAAATGAACATTTCCAGCAACAGTATTCTGTTTGGACCACACAGATATTCATGGGAGCATGGAGAGGGAGCAGGGAGTTCAGCAAGCATTGATTGGGCACCACTGTATTTCAGGTACTGCTCCACACACTGTGACAAATGCTAAGGAGGAATTAACTCTTAGAAGTTTAGAGTTTCTAAGTGGGGGAAACAGCTACTCACTCAACATTTCAATACCATTTGTTGCTCTGAGAGAAGCTCAAGGTATTAAGGAACAGAGGAGTGTCGCTTAGCCTAACTTACTAAGAATCAGGGAAAGCTCCTGTTGAAAATTACATCTGAACTGATGATTGGCTCTGAGAAATAAAGGCCTCTGTTCCAAATCTCTGGTAATCTCAAACATTTTTTTTTTCTTGTCTTGAGACAGAGTCTTGCTCTGTCACCCATGCTGGAGTGCAGTGGCGCCATCATAGCCTCAACCTCTAAGGCTCAAGCAGTCCTCTTAGCCAGCCTCCTGAGAAGCTTGGACCACAGGCATACACCACCGTGCCTGGCTATTTTTTATTTATTTTTTCTAGATACGGGTGTCTTCCTGTGTTGCCTAGGCTGGTCTTGAACTCCTGGGCTCATAAAATATTTCTTATCTTTTATAAATTCTGTGGAGTTCCTCTGAAAGCTCCACAGTGGAGGGACCAGGGGGTGTTGCCTCAAGGGAATGAGTGAAGAAAAAGAATCAAGACTTCATGCCTTGTTCCAGGTTGTTCCAGGTTGCTCCAGGCATGGCAGGGTAGAGCATGTGGGTGCATGAGCTGTGAGAATAGATGTTCCTGGTCCCAGTGATGCTGTCTGATTAAGTGATGTCCTGAGTTGGCACAGAGAGATTTTATAGTTTCCTTCAGTGGGTTATTTAGGCCTTTCCCATTTTCTACTTTATTTTATCGCCCATCAGCAAGTCACATTGAGAGTGAAATAAAACGTTCCAGGTCAAATAACCTTATTTAGATAACACCCTGTTTGTGCAGTATTTTGTAAATGAAGTCCAGAACATATTTCAATGCCTATGGCTTTAAGACACAGCTATAGCTTTAATGAAATGTTCATTTTAGTATATTTTGAATGTACCTTTTAAATAAAAGCCTAAACATATTTGGGCAGTGCTATCATTAATTAGTTCATAAAAAATATTTATTAGTTTTCTACTAAATGCCGAGTACCTTAGATGCTAAGGCTATACCACTTACACAAAATAATTTTAAAAATCCTCTGACTTCATGAAACTTATCTTCTAGTAGATTTAATCTTCCACAGTATGGAATTTAAAAAAAAAGACTTATCCAAAATGTTATGTTATCCAGAGAACATTGCCACTAGACTTTTAACTTAACCGTCTTGGAGAGTAAAACTCAAGATGAACTCATGGAAGATCTCAGTATATCATAAGCTTGGCAGGATTTCCTCGACTGAATAATTTTCATATTTTAATAATGATTATGTAGAACAAAAAAAGTATAACTATGTTTTTGGTGTCAAATGTTTATTTTTTCAATGCTTGATTAATAGTGGTGCTACATTTGGGCATCTGCTCTTCTTCAAAAGATCTATGCATCAAAGCATTTTTCTACAAAGGAACCTGTTCCCATATGATCATCTTTGTCAACTAAATGTTAATGCCAGAACATAATGTGCAAATAGTGTACTCTTAGCTGTTTGCTAATGTTGTTGGATCCTAGGAATGTGTATCTTATAATAATATCTAATTGGAACTTCTGTGAGCTCCTTATTCTTTCCCAGGATGCGTCAGCTATGGGTGTTCGAAGTCATCTGAAATTTTATATGAGAAAGCTGTATAAACTATACAGCTACAGAAGCTATATTAGTGATTATTTTCAAGAGCTGAATTATTGTTTTTGGGAATTTAAAAATGTGGACTTCAAGGGGTTAACCATAGTTAGTAATTGTACTCAAATAGAAGTGTTACCAAAACATGTTTTTAAAGGACTTTTCCTTTATATTTTATTACTTTAATTCAAGTTTAAATTATGAGAAAAAAATATGCAACAGAGGTACTCAAGGCTTGTTTTCTTTATTTTTTCTAATCAATTTATTTTTTTTTAAAGTCAAACAAACAAAATTCTGCACAAACACAGAACTCTTTAGTGTTGCTTCCTCTAGCAAGTATTATTATTCTTCCAAGGTATATGCAGAATAATAAAATATTCTGAAACTTTGTGATCCAAGCTAAATAATAATTTGCAGTATTTTGGGCTTTAGTAAGAAGTGACAGAAAAACTTATATTTCTGACATGTTATCTAATACAATTTTTGAAACACTGCAATATGTAAATTAATGAAAATAAATTTGTCTCTAGTACATTATTTTTCAACATCCTAAGAACATTTCATTTACCCAATAAACCAGAGCTAGAAATTCTAAAAAATTATTTACACAGTGTTTTTCGTTTGCTTACTTATTATTTGCCTGTTTTACTCTTAAATTAAAAATAATCTGGTCTCAGTTACTGTATCACCATCCCTCGGCTCCTAACTTCAACTGGACTTCAAAAAGCTGGATTCCTAGCCAAGTCAGTGCTCCTGATAATTCTATAACGGCAATAGGGATAGGATAAATTTGCTACTGAACTATCATTATGAGCATAGAATCTTTATTCAGATAGATGTGGGCTTCAATTCTAGGTCTGCCATTTACTGTGAGGCCCCGGGCAAGTTATTTGACCCTGCTAATGTTTTCTTCTGCAAAGTCAAAATAAATAATAAATAAGGTGGGTGTAGAGGCTTAAATGAGATAATGTCAGTAAAATGCTCAGCTCAGCACCTGGAATATTTTAAATATTCTCTAGGTATGGGCTCAATTAATGTTGACTATTACTACTAAGATCAATAATCATAGTAATGGTGATAGTGATGATGATAGTAATAATATTCTCTAATTACTCCTGTGAAAAACAAGAAATTATTTTCTGAAGTTGAGTTACTGCACTGACACAGTGAGAAGTTTCTGTATTTCTAAGAATTCATGATCATTGTGGAAAGGAATGTCTTTCTATTCCTATTAGAACAAGTTATGTTTAGGTGAAGAATTCCAGCTCAGTGACTAGTCCTATGAAATTGCCTCATCTTTCTCTCTACATTCTTCCTTTCTCCCTTCCCAACTCCTTCCTTAAAAGCACCCAATGAAAAAAGATAAGGATGAATCATTATAAGGCTATTGAAAATAATGGAAAGCCCCAAAATTTTTAAAATTATGCTGAGACAAAAATATGTTCAATATTTTTGAAGGTGTATTTGAACTCTGTACTACTTGTGTATTCAACATTAAGGGAGATTTTAAAAATAACTTGGGCAGGGACTGGAAGTAACCACTGCTATTTGATACTCACAAATGTATTTTTTGTGAGTATCTTGAGCATCAGGTTTATCATCTAGAAGATGCCTGCACAGTAAATATTACTGTACCATCTTCTAGATGATAAACCTGATGCTCAGGAAGCTTAAGTACCCTGCCAAGGGTCATACTACTTGTAAATCATGCTCATCTGCCTCTTAACTTTGTCATCTCCAGCTTGAAATGAAAGTACATGGAAATTATCTGTCTTCTAGATTGAAAGAAAAAGAAACTTGTTCCGGACTCCGCTAATTGGCTAAATAAATGACTACCGAAACTATGTATTTGACAAATGCTTAATACATTTTGAAAATTGAAAAACTGTGCAAGAATGGAATCTGAGAATTTTGTATCAATCAGATTTTCTTTTATATTTAAAAAATTAAACCTTTCAATCAGATTTAACAGGCTTAGCAAAGATAAGAAAAGAACTTCAAGTACAACACATAGACTGAGCAGTAGAGTATGCACACTACCCAGGAGATGCTCTTACTGAAGAGTAACACAACTTGATGGGATCAAACTATTTTTCTCAGTCAACATATTATATGAATAAGTAGATCTCTAGGAAAGTATCTGGATGTTCCCAACGCTTTTTCAAATAGAAAAGTTTGATACAAATTAATTTAATTAAAAAATATGTTTATAGGTAATCAAAATTAACTCCATAGTGCTTGACTCTCCTGAATTCAATGTAACTTCATTAATTTAGACCCCACCATTCTGTAAGTTGTCACCACTCGGGCACTAACTAGGTAGATGTTACCTTCATAATTAAGATGTAGTAATTTTTAAAAAATTATAGGGGAGGTATTATTGTTATAAAAGTTTCCAATAAATTGAAAGTTATACTTCAGCAGCAG